GGTAAAGGAATATCCCTGGAACGTAAGAAAGGGTGTCCGAAGGAGATTACCAGATTGCATAAAGAACATAAAGTATAAGGGGGCACACCCCCTTATATAGATAGGAAATCCTCCATGATCACTAATACAAAAGAAAGTCCTTGGCGTCGCGCGCAGCCGCGATCTTCCCGTCATGTTCCGCCAGGTTCCGTCGCGTGGCAACCTATCCCAATCATAACACAAAGGAAATCCTACAATGCAACCAAAGAAACCACAGCCGATATATGCAACCAAAAGTCCAATGTTCCTCCACGTCCAGCACGCCGGGTGGCCGTGACAGATTTATCAAATACTTTCTAGATTATTTTTAAAAGTAAGTAGCTTGAATAAAGTTTCTAAACACTACTGTATCTAAACTACAATCATAGTAAAAGTAATAGTAAAAGCAGTAAATATTTTATATAAATTATACTTATTATCTATAATGGTTAGAGTTGCAAGAAGTAGTTTATTCAATATAAATAATTTTACATATCAGTTAGTCCTTCATATAACAATCTATTGTACTTCTAAAGCTTTTACATTAATTTATAATTATATACCTTATACTCTGTGATATCCTCTCAGAAATCTAGTGTAATAATTATAAATTATAAAAAGGTTCAGAACTTGGTACAAGGAAAAACAAATTCCAGTAGGAACTAGAGGTGCTAGGGCCATGGGGCTTGGGAAGTGCTTAGATATGGCATGGTGCAAAACTGGGAATACTATAGTTGTTGGTCACAGAGCTTGAATATAGATTGTTGACATTATAATACAACTATGGTATTGGCCGGTGGGAGAAGGGGAGGAAAAAATAGAAAACAAACAAGAAGAAAACTAAAATCCAAAAGAGAATAAAATCGTCCCCGTAGAAATAAATTACTCGAGTAATATAAAGGAAAGGGGCATTCGAGTCAAACACTTGAAGCTATAATGAGAAGGGCTCCAAGGGAACTACTCGGTCAAAACCTGGAATGTGACAGGTCACATGTCGCAGAGGTATTAGCAACAAGTTGATTCCGCTTCCCGAAGGAGAAGTAGTGATTACTTAAACATCAACTCTCCTCGTAGCAGAGGACTGGGGTTGCAGTAAATTTATCATGCCGGACGTGAAAATACCCTTTCACCCGAGTGCTAGTACAAGTACAGTACATAGATGTTCAGCCCCCGCTTTCCACAACCCGAGAAGCAGTCCTCGCGCTTCGGTCCTAATCCATTCCGTGGCCGCTTACGTGCCCGATGGTACTGTACTCGTACAGGTGAGCTGCCGTATATACACGGGACACGAAGAAATCCGGACTGAAAAATCGCTGGAAGGGTTCCGGAAAGCCCCGCTTTTTCCCTCGTTTCCTTGCTTTTATATCATTACCTGTACCGGTATTTATCCATCGAATCCTTTTCTTTTCTTTTTTCCTTTCCCATCGGTTGGTTCCTCGGGGTTGACTCGCGATGCGGTACTTTGTTGAGGTACACCACCGTACCGTAGTCTACTGGTGCTAGGGTGAGTGTGGGGGTACCTAACATCCATTGTAGGGATTTTCGATTTTTATGGTTTGCTTTCCGCTCCGATTATTTATTATTTTCGGTTTCAGTCCTGGTGGGTGAGTTCTTTCCTATTTTCTAGAAGGGTCCCAGAAGTGGACCAGGATCGGCGGGGGAGGTCTGAGTGTGTGTGAAGGGAAGGGAAGGGATGTATGGTTTGGTTTGGTCCGGGGTATGGGAAGGTAGGGATGCTAAACGGGCGCTTGGGGGATGTCGGCGTCGGCGTCGGCGTCGGCGTTGCTGATGATGATGGGTGAAAAAAAAGAAATGAAAAAAAGTTTCTGCTGAGTGGTTTCCCTAGAGGAAAATTTGTGATACGGTACGAGGTTGTCGGGCCCCTGACTGCTCAATACTCGAGTAACTTATTGTCCTGCTCGTTGCAGAGGAGTATGATGATGATGAGAGGACGAGTGTACTCGAGTACTCGTAGTAGACTATGCTGGAGTTCCAGCAAGGCAGCTTTCCAGAAAAGAGCACTACCGGTAGCGTACTCGAGTACGAGGACGGTACTCGAGTAGGGATTTCATTTCATTGGTGGTATGCAGGAACTTGCATCGCAGGTTCTGAGCGCCACGGAGCAGGGATGAGGGGGATATCCCTGTGGATTTCCTTTCTTTTTCTCGATTCTGTTTATCTTCTACTGTGATGTACTCGAGTACTGTACGAGTAGTGGACTGGGCCTTCCGGGCCTTTAGGCTTAGTGAAACGCGAGAGGGTGGTTGTTTGATGCTTCTGATTCGGTGGTTCGGGAGTGGGTTGGGTTGAGTTTCTCAGGGTGGAGGTGAGGTCGCGGTAGGTGAGGGAGAGTGAGGGGATGGGTGGTGGATGGAGTGGATGGAGTGGATACCGTTGTATAAAAATAAAGTCGGGGAGGGATAAATAAAAGAGAAACAGAACCGGTACAGTACTATCGTGCCGTATCAGTGTATCGGCGGACGATGTTTTTTCCGGGGACGTCTGGTTTGAGTTGCGCTGTCACTTGATTCTTTGATTTTGCCATTCATTTTCTCTTTCTACCTTATGCTCTCCTTCACCCTCTCAGATCAATTACGGTGGGTTTCGAAATGGTTGGGGATAAATCAGAAAAGATCTGCTGTCTCAATTCGTTCTTGCCGATCGCATTCGCCAGAGGAAGAAGCGGCCGCGGTGGGATTGGTGGAAAGGTGCATAAGCTTACTTGCTTGCCTTAGTTCCAACACCTCCCTCGCACCCCTTCTTTGCCTCCTTCCGGGGCTTCCAGAAGTTCTCTGAAATCCTTCCACACTTCTAGCAACAGCTGTCGTCCATCAGTCCCCAGCCAGTCAGGTCACGTCAAGCGGGAGCGAAGGATGGATGGAAGGGAGAAAGGAAGGGGAGGAAGAAGGAAAGGAGAAAGGAAGGAAGGAAGGAAGGAAAATTACCCTTTTTTCCCTGGCGTCATGCTCTACTTGCCATTTGCCGCCCATTGACCACAGCAAATAATGATGTGAGGCGAGCTTTACTGTTACCGCAATCACATAACACAGGACTTGTACCAGTAGAGGTGGACCAGGTACCGGATATCGGTAACTACTCTCTACCCTTTCTCTTAACTCGTGAGAGAAGTGGAAAGCGGTTGATTGGACGATCGGAGCGAGTGGGTGATTGAGGAGGAGTGATGGGGAATTACGAGTATTTAGTGCCATCTTGTCTACACTTGACTTTGCACCGTTTGTACCGCTCGAGTTCAAGATATGTGACCGTATGATAGTTCCTTCCCTTTCGTTCCCTTTCCCCCTTCCATCCATTCTATCCGCACCCCAACCTTGCCCTGTACTCGAGTACGAGTACCGGTATTGGCTTCCTTACTTTCCACACACACACACACACACACACACACACACCCCATTTCCCAGCAGAGAGCCATCTAGGGGAGGGAGGGGGAAGAGGAGGGAGGGAGCGAGGAGCAGGAGGCAGCAGGCACCCAAGCTGCCGCAGCCGCCTCTTTTTTCCCATCTTCTGCTTCCACACCGACATAGGATCCCTACTAGCATCCTCACTGAATCCACACATACCACCACCATCAAGTACCGTAGAATACCATCACTCCCACCTTGACCACCTCCCTCTCCCTCCCTCTCCCTCTCCCTCTCCCCCCCCCTCCTTACCCATTCTTCAGAATATCTAGCCGCAGTGAGCGGACGCATCCACTCGGTCACTACCACTCCTCTCTCCCTCTCTCCCCCTCTCCCACTCCCACCACCCACCCACACTTGCACCCACCCTACGGTACTCGAGTATCCGCTCTTTCACCCACACCCACCGCTCCCTCCACACACACTCGACCACCACCACCACCACCACCACCACCACCACAATCACCGTTCCCTCGCTTTGCCCCACAAACACTTGTTGAACTGCCACTTTCACTGCTGCTGCCTCTATTCCCGACCGACCGACCGATAGCCCGAGCCATAACCCTCCGGGGGAGAATCCCACCATCCCCCTTCTAATCCGACACGATATTACCAGCTACCCCCGACGAACCTTCTTGTAATCATTCCCCCGTCCTTCGTTACGCATTGACTCCACCTCTTTTACTACCGGTACTATCGCCTCGCTTCCTCCTTGTCACTTGCGTACTCTCGAATTGAGGAGGCGGGAGCTTTATCGTCGCCAGTGACTTTCGAACGAGGCAAAAAAGAAAAAAAAGAAAAAAAAAAGAGCTGCTACAGGATTTTTAAAAATTCACTCGTCCGATCTGTTTGCCTGTTCTATCACACCTCTAGTTCCTTCTTTGTCCCCCACTCTTCTCCGCCCCCTTCACCGCGGTCGCTCGCTTTTTCCTTTTCGTCCCTTTTTCTGTTTCTCCCTTTCGCCTTTCAAGATTCCCGCTCGGTACGGACGATAGCCTCCTCTAACCTTCCGTCGAGTTCCCACTGTACAGTGTTTTCGCGGGCATTGTCTGCTTTTCGCGTGCAGTAGGATCTATTTTAGTCTTTGCCGGCGGTCGCTGTTCGGCGACAACCCCCCCGCCATGATGCATCAGGCGGACTACAACGTCGTATATGTTGACCGTCGGGC